CCAAAACACTGTTGGTTCATGGGGCCTTCAGTCCTCTACCTTAAGGGTCCAAGTACCTCATTTTCATATTATACTTACCCAAAACCTATACTATAGCTAGTATCACCCAAAACCCAAGTCCCCAAATATTGGGTACATGGACCCTTAGGGCTACAATTCACCTCTCAAGCTCCACGTGATAGACGTCCTGAATACCATGATTTTTTGCATCAGATCGTGATTTCCTAAGTCTTTGTAGAACCCATCAAGCTGAAATTCCGTTTGAGTAAGGCTTTCATCCCTAAACACCATAGCTGCGTTAGCCCCCAAATCCTCAATCCCAGAAGCGTAAGCTGTGAATCCTAAATAAGTTCGCGCGTCTGTTGAGATAAGAAGCAGGTGCGACAAGAACAAGTTAAAATCCGGAACCTAAAATCCTACAACAATCCGAAAGTATGTATCTGGTGGCTCCTTCCGACGCGGTGCTTTCCAAATTCACGGACACGAGCGGCGAGGAAGGTCGCCTGTGAAAAGACCGTTTTGGGGGTCTTAGGTTTAATTTTGGATTTGTGGTTTAAGGTTCAGGGTTGTTTTCAGCTGTAAGTGGAAGTTTCTCGAGGTTAGTCATGCTTTCTTGAGGGTCCCAAAAAGCGCATCCCACATTTTTTGGCGACAGTGCCCTTGAACGCAATCTTACAAGGCATTAAAGCTATGGGGCCAGTCAATATGCTAGTTTCCCTAAATAGGGGGGACGCCAAAGTAAACCCCAAAATATCAGCGTAGGGCTCAGAGTTTACAGCTGCAGGGTCCTGATTGGATACAGTCTCAAGATTCTTTCGTACGACAACCAACAAGGACTATACAGTGTTGTAGTCTCCCTAAAGTAGAGAGAATATGCCTTTGGGTATATTATAGTAAGATCCCCATATACCCCATATTCTATCTACTTAAGGGGGACTATATGTTTCAAACAAATCCAACTAATGAACCAGCTTAGGGGTTTAAACCCTAAACATCATTCTTTTAGCGGACCCTTTGGGTGGTTCTAGTAGTTTTTTTGTTTTCGTTATCTCATCTCATTGCTTTCTGGTGAGAAATTCGACCGATGAGTCATCAGGTCCCTAAAAAGGTGATGTTGGGCATATTTAGGGCTCGTTATTACAAGGCTTCTCAGCAACATTTAGGGTTCCCTAGGCCCTGGAACATGGTTGGGTGTTTGTGCGTTTTGCTGAGCTGTCGGAGATACTAGGGGGGTGCGTCCTTTTAGCGCGAACCATGCATGTAAGCTAAAGAATAAGCTTAAACCTGTAATTGCCAAGAGCTCCTAGCTACCTGTATAATCCCTGTAGGCCCAAAGTATTTCTCATTTAGGTACTAGCACCGTCAGGTCGAGTTGCACAGGTACCCCTGGTTTGGTTACGCCTCGCTAAGCTGCCAACGCTTGTATATCCTGGGTAGATGGAGCAACCCAAAGTATTCTGTGACTCCCACCCGTGAAGAAAGCGTGTTGATCATACGACTGCAACAATTGCATCTTTCTTGTGGGCTGGGGTTGCTTAAGCTCTTGTCCAAAAGTTAAAATCATGCTGGGTGTTGAGGGGATGCAGGTTGAAACACTCGGGAAAGAAGCCCCCAGCGTTGCGAGGGGGTTCAAGGGTTTAGCGTGTGGGAGAGGCCGGGTCTAGAGGATGTTGCGCCTGGCTACTATTCATTTATTTTGGGGGGTGCAGGAGCAGGGCCGGTAGGCAAGGCTTTCGGGGTAGCAGCTAAGACATCGAAAGGAGGCATCTCGTGTAAGGAAGATCCACCCAATAGGTAAGCATCAAGACCCTCAAGCCCTGAGCTTTACACACCAATAACTCTACAGTAAATATTGGGCCCCAAACGCTGCCTAAACCCTAACCCCTACACCTTTTTAAGGACTCTCTACGATCTCTTTGGCCCTCCCCAAGAAAGTGATTTGGCATCCCGACATTCCCTACTTGCAGTGTCAAGGTAGGTTTACAGTGGGGAAGATTGTGTGACCATCTGACTCATAGGGCTTATAACTTATTTACTAAGTGTCCTCACCCTATAAGTTAGGTTTGACATCTGGAGTCGCCTCATGGCGTCCTTGCTGGCCTCAATGTATGCTGGCCGTACTGGATTTAGCCTAGCAAGCCTAAAGCTTAGCATCGTACTTGCTATTATCTTTTTAAGCCAGTGTCTTTCTCGGCATTCATCTGTGCCACCCAGAAGCTAAAGCACGAAGGCCTGAACCCGAAGCCGAAGAAGCCTCGATCTTAAACCCCTGTGCATGAAGTCCTAAATCCTAGCTGAAGAAGAGAGGTTTCCAGGGCTTCTTCAAGGATTGTATGGGATTCTGTGGCGTCTCTGCTGCTGGTTTTGGCTTTAGGGGCGCCTCCGCGGGGATCTGCGCATTCCTGGACTTCTGGATCCAGGAGGGCGATTTATAGCAACAAAACGGGTTGGGTTTTAAGGTTTGGGGCCCTAAGCCCTCAACTCTAGTTGGATTCGGGGGGTAAACGCAGGGCCATGCTTGGGTCATTTCCCTTAGCCGTAGCCTTACAAACAGCCTTTCTAGCAGTTGCCTCAAGGGCAGCCACACGCTACCCAAATCCAGAACATGTCTTAGGGTTGCGTGGCAGAAGCCCTAGAGACCCGAGATGCGCTGTAGATGCCTCAAGAACTACCAATATCATTCCTCATATACTTTTAGTCAAATGGACCCCAGGGTCCCATTCTGATTCTTGAGGGCCTTCCATTACAAAAATCTGTTCTGATTTTCCTTTTGGTCTGGTGTTAAGATGATGCATGCAGAGCTTTCCCACTACCTATGCTGTGAACAATCCTCGGTGTCCGCAATCCATTTAGAAACTCCGGACGGCAGGTTGCTCAGGGGAAGCCGTCTGGGAACACGAGATCTACAATCGCTCAATCCCATTCCTTAGTCGCTTGACATGCCTTTGCCTCTAGATGTCTTCCCTACCACCGACATCGTAGTTCCGCAACACTATTCCTTGTTGAGCGCGTCTTTCGAAAGTCTTTGGCTGAAGGAGCTATGGTGAATATCCCAAAGACTCGCAACACTTACTGCAGGAAGCTTCGGCAGCGCTTTGGGTTTGTGTAGGGTTTAGGGCTTGGGGTTTATGAGCTTTAGTCTGCAGCTTCGGCAGAGCTTTAGTGAATCCTCTCCTGGATTTGTGTCAGGGTAGGTTTAGGGCTTTGGGGTGGTAGGGTTTAGGATTTCTGGATGTAAGGTTTTGAGTTTAGCGAAGAATTAATTAGGGCTGCTGGGTACCCTTTCTTGGTTTGCACCATCATGAGTTTTAGGGCTTTGATGGATTACTCAGCTCAATTGTTCTAAAATGGCATGTTACGTTCTAGGTGTACCTGAGGCCAATGCAGCTTCAAGAAGCTTGTTATGCTGGGGTCTCAACAATTCCAGCTCAGAGTTAGGGACTTCGGGTCGGGGCCGTTATATAGCAAGAGCCCACGGGCTAGAGTAATTTGAGAGATTGAGTCGCTGAGCTCTGGGCTTTCGGGGGTCCTGTCAACGATGTTTCACAAACTTAAACTCCCATTTTGGTACACCTAAATATTAGGTGCCGTGATATAATCTATACCGAAAGGGTCCAGAATTTTGGGAAATATGTGATTACTTAGTATTTGGGCCCTTTGGGTGGTGGTTGGCACGGACTGCGGGACTGGACCACCAGCATTGGCCTATCACTCATGGGATACCACTCAAGCAGAAAGCCATTGTCTGCCCCTTCCTTTGCCTCCGGATGCAGAGGGGCTACGCTTTCGAAATCTTTCTGACATGAATAACTTAGACTCTCAACCTTAAACCCTCAAACATTAAAGCCGTTTGTCAGAAATCCTCACCTGACTGTGCCAAAGCTGAGGAAGTGCAAGAAGCACACGCCGCACAAGGCAGGACAAGTCTAGAGGAGTGATCATCGTGCTGTTATTTTGTTGAGGGACCAAACCCTGCATGACCCTGAATATATATATATATAGAGCAGAGCGCCATGATTGAATTGATAGCCTTACGTAAATAGGTTCAAGCGCCGTAACCATTACACAGCTTGTGATATACTTTGTTATGGGGGAGTGTTGGTGACCGTGTATATCGGGTGTGCTTTCAGCTGGAAGCAAGAAGCACCTGATTGTTGGATGCTCGCAGTACCACCGGACTGTGAGAACTCGGGTTGCGGAAGATGTCTCAAGAGGCATGCCATGTCGCAAATCTCATCCAGGAAAGACTCAGCCCTAAACCTAAGAATCCCCGACACAGCTTGACATCGCTGTGGTCTCATTCATGCAGCTTGCCAGGCTGTGAGAGGTAGAGTGCGGTGTCGAGTGCCGGGTGTTGTAGCCTTAACCCCTCAGGCTCAGAGTACCACCAAAACCGTAGCAGGCTTGAGGGGTTTGGGGTCTATGCCGTCTTGTGAGGTGCATTTGTTTAACTCCAGGTTGACAGCCTAAAGGTTTGAGCTGTGTAGGCCCATTTGTTTGGGCCAACTGGCATCTTCTCACAATCTCCTCTGTATAGTCCTGGGTAGCTGACGACGTCCTTATGATCCTCAGGGACCCGTGGTACGCCTGGTCTGCGAAACCTCCACCATGGGCCTTTGGAAGCCACTAGCTTTAGGAAAACCACGTTGCTATTGCATTTGCATTCGCAGGTAATGTCCTTTATACGGGATGGAAGACGTGGGGAGCTAAGCCGATTTCCAAAAGAATGATATACCTCGGCGGCCCCAAATAGAGCAAAGTTCGGGCAACCGTTGCCTGGGTCCTGAATATGGGCCTAATTGGGTGTCTAGGGCTATCTAGGAAATTTTAGAATAGTTAATACATGAGGACCCTAAAGTCAATGGCCCATACCAGGGGCCTGCAGTGCCAACCTTAGATGCTTGTGCTGAACCCTAAACCCTAGAACCCTAAAACCCTAAACCTTAAAACCCTAGAACCCTAAACCCTAAACCCCAACCTTTGATACCTGCTGTCTGGAGGTCTCGCAGTACAAGACCGGCAAGGCTTCACTCAGCGCTCAGGGAAAGCGACGATACGACAAGAAGCAGGCAAGGTTTAGGGGGATTTCGTATTTTTGGTTTAAGGGGTAATGGTTTATAGGCTGTAGAAGTCAGGGTTCAGGGGTGTAGGAGTTAGGTTTGGGGATTTACTTATTAGGGGTTTTTGAGGTTTGAGAGTTATTTAGGATTTCGGGTCTGGGGCTCAGGACTGACGGGTTGAGGACGAAGAGGAGGAGGAGGGAGAAAGAGGATCTTCAAAGGATTCTCATCCACTGGTTATTAAATTAATTGAATAGGAAATACGGTGGACGTTTCTAAAGGATGACAAGCCCTGAGGCCCTGAGGCCCTCAGTCCGAAACCCTAAGCGCCAAGGCCCCACCCTAAACCCTGAACCCTAACCCCCCACCTGCCCCAGTCCTCAAGCCCTAACCCTTGAACCCTAAAGCCCTAAACCTTACCCATGCTGCGCCCTCGCCTCTAGGCGGGCTTCGGCGGCCAGACGAAGCCAGTTTTCCACAAGAAGGTGGGGTTTTGTCAACAACTGGGGTCACTTTACCTGAACTAGGTACCCCAGTGCTACCCTTTTTCCCGTTTGAATTTGGGATCTCCCTGTTTAGAAGAAGTTGTACCCTTCTTCTTAAATAAGGGGTTACTGGGGAACCCAGTGACTCCTAAGCCCGAAGCTATTCTTGGGTTTTGAGCCTGCTCACTCTATGAGGCTTTGGGCATTCCATGCTTACCTCGTTTTGGAGCGTGCTTTGGTGTGCCGTGCTTCTGAAGGGGGGTGATTACCCAAGAAACATGCACATGTACGGTGGGCAGCCCGGCAGTAACTGTCACTGCAGATGTGAGTCAACCAAGAAGACTTTGATATTGCAAGCTTCTTCTCGGGGAACCAGAACGTTGATACTCTAAATTCCTGCCTTGCAAACATGAGGTGGGGTAAGGGGTTGTTATCATGGAGACGGATACTATACTGCAAAAATCGAACCGCGCAGGCCAAGACCACCAAGAAGATTGTGCTGAAGTTTGAGTGCACCAAATGCAAGGTCACCTGGCTGCATCATGCTCCGGCCTCATCGGCCTTCGCGATCAGAGCTACATGTCCTGGGCTTGAGTGTTACATGGAGAAGGGGCGGGACTAGGCTTGTATTTGAACCCATATGAGTTTGAGGAAGTAGTGAGAAGTCTGGTCAGAATCCCTATCACGCTTGTGCTGTACAGTGTCGGGCCCGAGCTATAGCGGCAATTGCCACAGCCTTACTACTGAAATCCAGTCTGCGCAACTCTTCCCAGGGTTAGGTGCAGTAGGGTTTGGTCAGGGTCCACGGTAGTAGTTTAGAATTTCCTGTCCGCAGACGCCTGCCGTCGTTCTTAGTAACTTCCGCGTACGGTCTTGAGTCTTGAAGCTCTTCAGATGCCGACCCTTCGATTGTACGTGGAAAATGCCGTAGAGTCATGCACAAAGCTGCCTAGACAGGAATACAAATGCTTTTTGTTGCCGCGCGGTCCCAAGAGCCTCATTCCTTCATTGGTTCATACTGCACTGATGCATAATACATCTCGGTACTATTCGAAGATAAACCAATCGCAAATGTTGATATGGTTCCCAACCCTCATTCTACCCAAACCCTCCCATGTAGTTCCTTTCTGGGTAGTCTATTATACTCCCTTACCTAAAAACCATAACAAACCCAAAAAGGAACTACATAGGAGCCCTTGGGTAGTCATTCAGGCGTTCACAGTATTGTGCAGAAGCGTCTACGGACGGCACTTCCTGTCTTTGGTCTCAAGGAATGACTACACTGGACGGAGGATCTCTAAATTCCTCGTGATCACCGTGTGTTCCTTAACCCCCCAAAACCTTAATCCCCCGTCCCTATATAGATGCGTCTATTATAATGCCCTCTGAAGGCCTCATATTGAGAAAATCCCCAGATCCGTAATGCCTTCGCAGGCCAAGCGAATGAAACCCATCAAGCGCACCAAGCACTTCGAGCTGGGAACCGACTCTAAGAAAGGCCTTTAGGGTTTAGTCTACTTGGTGGGTGAGGGCGACTTACCAAGTTCTAACCACTATAACCCAAAGTAGTACGGTGGATGCTAGACGTCCTGCATGACCCCAAGTAGCTTGTCCCTTGGGAAGAAGGGTACTAGTATATTAAGGTCATTCAGGGATTTAGATATCAACAGTAGTAACTCCCGGCATTCCCATTCTTAACCTACTTACATAGTCCCCCTGACACTCCAAGTACACGTTGGGGCGGCTTTGCTGCAAGGTGTAAGGTTTGTGTTTGGGGCTGTTTCAGAAAGGCCTTTTGGGTTTTGTGCGTAGGGTTTCTGGTTTACGAGTTTTGCGTGAAGGTGTCTTAGGTTTGGGGTCGTGGGTTGTGAGGTTGTGGTTGTGGGCCGGGTGCTGTGTACTTGCCACGTTTTACAACCTAATCAACTCTACGAAAAACTCGTCTATAGCCACACAGTTAATGGGACTTCGGGGGACTTATGTTTGACTTCACTGCATGTACATGTGAAAGTAGGCCCTGAGTGCCCTAAATCCTAGACCTGAACAAAAACCCATGTAGTAATTCGCACCGGGCTTGCTTGCGCATAGTGTTGTGAAGGCATGGCAGTATTCTCAGGCTTCAAGTGCTCAACTACATATTCAATTTGTAAACATGTCTGCAAACCTTTCCAAGGGTTTAGGGCTTTTGGTTTAGGGTGGTCCATGGGTGCAGATAACCTAAGTGTAATCGTAGTTGTGGCCCAGTTACTTTCAGATTGTTGGACTTAGGGTGCTTATGTTTGGCTTACAAGTAGACAGTTGTAAGTAGGTCGCGGTGTGGGGTTAAGGGTTTAGGGTACCTTGAACATCCAGATAGAGTTTAGATGAGGCTTCTTGTCCCTTCAGCCAAACCAAAGCCAAATGGACCCTGGACCGCAAAAAGCGTTCTATCTGCTAGTTTTCCAATGATATTTAAAAGGTCGCACCAAGACCATGGACCTGAAGAATGCTTGCATATGGCGGGAGAATGCTGCAAGGGCAACGTGTTGAATCCCAAAGGGTCCATGTAGTTCTATGGTATATACTATATACTTAGGGCCCAAAGGGGTTCCCCTAGCTATTTTGGGGCCAGGGATATACTATGTGGCTACATGCACCCATTGGGAAGGGACCGACAAAACTTGTTGGTGCTTGGTAAGGAAGACAGTAAGGGAATGCACTGCCCATATAAGTCCTATATAATGTATTCCCACTAACCCTAAAACCTAAACGCTAAAGCCTAAACCCTAAACCCTGTATTCGACTATTCACTATCAGCCCACAGTAAAAACCAAACAAGTGTGAGGTTGCTGTAGATCCAAGCTTTAGTGACCGTAGGCAATGTTGTGCACATGCTTTAGGGTTTAGAGTTTGGGGTGCACATGCTTCTGAATGCTCTTCTTATAGGGATTTTGGCGCCTAAGGTTTGGGATCAGTGGTTAAACAGCAAGCGCTCTCTGCGTAGACTGAGCAAGTTACAGTTTTCACTTTGCCCAAAAAAGCCGCATCTAGACGGAGCTAGCGAGGAAGCATGAGAAAAGCGTAGTTTAGTTCAAACCACAGGAAGCAAGCCATCACAACATCAACCCTATGCACAAATGCCTAAACCTGACGTCCCGAAACCTTAAACCCTAAATCCTTAGCCCTACCTAAACCCCCAAAGTAGGTAAAATAATGGCCCAAATCCCCTAAATATAGCCCAAAAGGCCATTATTCTACATACTTTGGGGGTCCAGGTAAACCCTGTATCCTTTCCTGTGGCTGCCAAGCCCTTAGCCTCCATACCCTCATTTCTGAATCCTAAGCCCTACACCCTACCCAAGGGCTCCTATGTAGTTCCTTTTTGGGTCTGTTATGGGTTTTTTTAGGTAAGGGATTATAATGGACTACCCAAAAAGGAACTACATGGGAGGGTTTGGGTAAACCCAAAACCCTAGACCCAAATCCATACACCCCGATTCCCGAGTCCTGTTTCTTAAGCCCCTTAGCAGAGGTAGGTTTTTTTAAAGCTTTGTAGGTTTGACTACCTTTAATCCCGATACGCAGCTCTAATTGTTATATGGCCCCCAAACCTAGGCCAGTTAGGGTTTAGGGTTAAAGGCGGAAATCCGTAAAACTGGGCTGCTGTTCTGGATCATTTTTTGGACTTTTGTAGTTTTTTTACTGATGAAGAGCATTAGTTATCATTTCGGCAGTATCCCAGTAAGACGCCAACTGCGGTTGCAGCTGCACGGGATCATAGACATGGTCTGCTACAGTGGATCGAGGAAAGATTGCCCCATCTAGAGTCCCGGAACTACCTTACTGGTTCTGTAGGGTATAGGGGTTGGGGTGTAGGGTACTGAGCTGCCTTGCTGGCTTTTAATTCCCCCTTCGGCACCAGTAGGCTACTGTAGGTCTCAGGACGCAAGATACCTCAGATGGGAGAAGGGTTTTTGCTATCAACATGAGCTCTTGACCAGCAAGTCAGAGGAACCATGTGGAATTTCGAAGACGGGAGTGAATAGAGACCTTATAGGATATGCGGAGATATGGGGACCTTGTTAGGGATGACATAGGGTTGCTTATTAGAGGAGTGCACATGTGATAGAGTCTTGATCAGTTGCTCGCTCTTACGAGGTCTTTCGGGCAAGCTAGACAGGGTCCTGAAGGTCCGTACTGTTCCGGGAGTTCAAAGCCCTGGAGCATCACAAGGCTGAAGCTCCGATCAATATCCCAAGCCCACATCCCTTCCTCTTAACGTCTGCAAACCTATCTGGGTGGTTGTCAAAATTATGGTCCCATTTTGGGTACACAATTATAATACGGCACCGAATATTTAGGGTACCCAAAAAGGGACCATAATTTTGACAACCACCCATCTGTAAACTACATATGCGCAGGCAAGAGCGAGTACGGCGGCAAGTACCGATAGGTGCTTTGGAACCCATGGGAGATACCGCGCAGCGCCGGAAGGAAAGATCGCTTTCAGGGTGCAGTACTTAGGCAGCAGAATTAAACTACGGTGCATGGGTCAAGAAGCTTTAGGGTCGAGGGGGTGTACCCTAAACCAGAAATCATAGATGGCAGCATCCACCCC